TAATATTTCCCCCTATTTCCTTCTATATTTTTTTAAGCATTTCCCGTTGAAATTCCGGATTTTTTTGATTTTTTTTTCGCTGATTTTCCCCCTTTCTTCCTGCTTTTTTCCCCCCGGCCCCAGGTTCGTCCTTCGGGCCGAGCGGCCGCCGGGGCCGCCAGACGTACACGCGGTACCAAACGCTGGAATTAGAGAAGGAATTTCACTTCAACCGCTACCTGACCCGGCGGCGCCGCATCGAGATCGCGCACTCGCTCTGCCTCACCGAGCGCCAGATCAAAATCTGGTTCCAGAACCGCAGGATGAAGTGGAAAAAGGAGAACAAACTGCTCAGCTCCTCGCAGCTCAGCGCCGAGGAGGAGGAGGAGAAGGCGGCGGAGTGATGCGAGGGGAATTAAACAAAAAACAGCGACAACAACAAAAAATTAAACAAAAAAAAAAAGAGAGAGAAAAAAAGCAACAACAACTAAAAAAAGTTATTTAAAACGCGAGGAGAAAGCGCTAAAAAATTGGAATTGAGGGAGGGAGTGGGATGAGAGGTGAGGGCTGGCTGGGGCAAATCCGCGCAGCAGCCGCAAAGTTTGGGCCACCAATGCCCTGCGCTCCAATTCCCACAGAATTTGCCCAAAAAAACCGCAAAAATTAACCCGGCTTCTAGTGGGCCCACAAAGTTTGGGCCGCCAACACCTTGGACTCCAATTCCCACTGATTTTGTCCAAAAAAACGCAAAAATTCATCCGGCTTCTAGCGGCGTGTTGAGGTTTTTTCACCCTTTCCCTCCTGCTCCGCCCCCCCCCCACTCTCATGGAAATGGAATAATAATAAATAATAATAATTAAAAAGTGAGGAGATGGAGAGAGAGAAGGAGGGAAAGAGAAAATAGGGAAAAAAAAATTTAAAAAATTAAAAAAAAAAGGACTCCTAGCCGTGTTTCTACCCTTGGTGTCACTGTTAGTAACCTGCTAACTCTTGTATTTAATGGAAGTGCTGCAATATATGTCATTTGGGGTGTTTATTGTCCTAATTTTGTACAAATGTTCCATGCACGGTTGACATAGGTTGGGTTTTTTTCTTTTCTTTTTTGTTTTTTAATTTTTTTTTTTTTTACTCCTTTGGTAAATTAATCAAACCCTGAGGTTCTTTGTAATTAGTTTTGGGGTGTTTGTTTTTGTTTGGGCTGGGTTTTGGTTTTTTTTTTTTTCTTTTTTTGCCTTTTAAATTTTTTTATTTTTCAAAAGGAAAAAAAAAAATCTACTGAAAGAACGAGTACTACCTACAAGGCTGCAAAAAAAAAAAAAAAAAAAAAAAAAAGAAAAAAAAAAAGAAGAACAAGGACAGAAAGTTCTATTTTATTAATTTTTGTACGTGTTGTGTTTGGAGTTTGTCTTAGGTATGAACATGGAATTCTCTAATAAAAGCCAAGTCCTCGATCTCACCGCACAGCCCTCCCCTGTCGTTATTAGCGCTGTTTTGAGGGGAATTTTCCCTTTTCCAGGGGGGTGAAAAGGAGATTTTTCTCCTCTCCCTGGGCGCCGATGTCCTCAGACATCGGGAGCGCTCGGGATTACAGAAAAATCTGATTTTCCCCCATTTTTGGCTCTGATCTGCGATGGGAGCCCTTTCTCCAGGAGCATTTCCTGGCTGACATTTCTGCCTCAGCACCGCTCGCTCCCTCTCTTTCTCTCTGGTTTTTTTCTTTTTTTTATTGTTACAGTACAAAGAGTTATGACGAAACGCCGTTCCCATCTCCACAATAAATCAAGGAAACGGGCAAAAATACGCGCTCATTTATCCGCCAAAGCCACCTAACATTTGCCCAGCATCTTTCAAACATCTGCTCCCCCGCTCCGCGCCCCCAAATCAAAGAGAAATGTGGCGCAAAAAAAAAAAAAAAAAAATTAAAAAAATTTAAAATATTCCAGGTTTCCAAGAAATTCACCCCGGAAAAAAAAAAAAAATCTCATTGCCAGGAATGAGCGCCCGTTTAAACCGGGGAGGAAAAAAGTGGGAAAATCGTGAATGGAGCTCCTTGGAAAGGGCAGAATTTGATTTTCTCTGGCCAGCGCCTCCTTGCCTTGGCTGGGGACGGGACGGGGAAGGTTTTGAGGAATTTTCTTGCGAAATCCCCGACTTTTCCCCGGCTTCGCGGGGAGGAATGGAATGAGAAATGAGAG